CTAAAAAAGTCAATCTTACAGTAGGAAGATAGTATGAATATATATATATATATATATATATATATATATATATATATATAGTGTTTGTTGTATATGAATGACTGGATTGTGAAACCGGTCGTGTTTCTGCTAACTTTTATCGTGTCATTCATATACTATTCATCATAAAAACACTGAAAATCGGCCCTGTCGTTGAGTTGGCTGTGGTTAGACGCATCTAACCCACATCACCTGCTACAGATTCAGCCCAATGAATCCCCTCGCTAAGCTGCAACTGGGATTTTCGTTACATGAATATGTGTATACATTTGCATTTAACTCATTGTTACTTGTGACATCAGTAGTGCATATCCACCGTCCCGTCCGGGATTTGAACTTCGGACCCATCGCATGGAAGGCGTGTGCGTTACCACTGTGCCAACCAGCTCATACCATGACTGGAACAAATTGTCAATTATTGTTTGTTCATGTGTCGTCTTCAGTGGTAGTCAGTTAGTTCATTTGGTCTGACAACAGTTTGAAGGATAGTCCGTTTCAATTAATATGTATCTATCGGCGGTGGTGGCCCAGTGGTAACGTTACCAAATGATCACCCCGGGAATGTGTGTTCGAATCCCATCATCACTGCCTGACTTTGTGTATTGAATGGCAGCCCTTTGGTTGGCCGCTCCACCCTTCCTGAAAATTATATCTTTGTATATTCTGTAAAAGGAAGTAAAATGAAAAAAAGAAAGAAAGAAAATATAAGAATATTCTTATGAAGAGGGACGCGTTGGTTGTTTCTGCCATGAAAGAAGTCCATGTAATACACCGCAGTTCATTGTTTCCCGAGAAAAAGGCGTGTTCAAGCTAGACTTATGTCGAATAAAAAAATCGTTGGTAAGGATGATTTGCCATCTGTGTGTTCATATAGCTCTGTCATTTAGCGACTGCAAGAAGCGGAACTGCACGTGTTATAGACAGAATGACTTGAAGATGTTGGGGTATCTAGTTTGCCGATTCTGATGCATTCCAACGATTTTATTCCCTCTGGTTCCATCGATCAGGGCTACTTTGTTGATGTATGCGTAACTTATTAAAACTATTGAAATCAAGTAATTTACGTAGTCACCTACGTTAAACAAGTATTTGTAGATCGTCTGGCTTTTTTCTGACCTTTCTTTTTTCCCATCCCATTCTAGGTTCCAGTTTAGATACCATCAGTGCTTTGGTCGAGGAGTTGGTCCCGTTGGCAGCCTTGCATCAAACTGACGAACCGGTCTCCGATAGTGACGCGGATGAAGAACAACAGAAGGCAGAAATGCGAGCGGCCACTGCGGCCGCACGTCAAATGGTGTTTCTTCCAGAGGGTCTTCCACTCGATGAATTGGGCTTAATCGAAGATGAGGATGAAGATCCAGATGCAGATGATTACGCTAGCGACAGTGATGGAAGCAGCGTTAACGCATCTAGTCGATATCGTTCCGGAATGCCCTATTCTACTGACGATTCGACTGACAGTGGTGCTTCTATCGATAGTGGTGGTATGAGTACTCGGCCGAAACGGCGACGCAAACGTCGAACAATTGCCGCGACAGCGCATTCATCCTACACTCAATCTCTTGGTTCAATTCTCGGTTCTAAATCCTCGCAGAACTGTTCAAACGCCTCCCCATTGCATCTGATGACCGCACGTGAGGCAGCCAGTTTAGCGTTTGCCAAACGTGCCAGTGGAGATCTAATTGGAGCACGTGGCCTCGTAGCTGCAGCTGCCGAGGTTCGTCGACAACATGAACTTGGAGAACTGCCTCTTTCCGGAGCTTCTACTGTCGCGTCAACCGAGGCAACCTCTGGTTCCACCGTGTACAGTGATCCAACCTGGTCTCGCAAAGCGGTCGCGTCGGGTTCTACAAAACGTGCATGTGTCGTCACCTATTCGGGTACAGAGGACAGTGGTGCCGAGTCTGCGGAAAATATGTTATCTCAGTCACCCCAATCCAATGTGCGTATGGTTCCCTGCGTGACCTCTC